GTAGGCAGGATACTGTTAAAGAAGCATCTTTTTTTGTGGTTTATTTACAAAAAAGCTTTTAATAACAGTCAATAGCTATTACTTATTGATGACATTTGGTAATATAAAGATATCACTGTGTTTTGTTATGTCTGTGTAGTCAACATTTTAAATTTTTTGGAGGGTCCCGCTCTTTCTGATTGTAAACAAAGCCGTTCTCCGCCTCCCCCGACCTGATTGGCTGTGAGGCAGACGCTGCTCCCTGGTGTAGTGAGGCACATTCCACGTCCTCTAATAACGTGCACGAGCCCAAACAAAGTTAGCGTGCTACAACATCGGACAGTAGAAACCAACCAGAAAGTACAAAACAAGCAAAAGACGAAGTAAATACCAGAGACTCTGGCGGAATAACGAACGCTTAAAACAGAGGTAGACCAGACAAGAGATAAGAACCAGGGGCAACATCAGCAGAAACAATGGGGGACAATTCGGGATCTTGGTGACCCTATAACCTTTCTGCTGGACAGGTAAACCACTTGAACAAAGTAAGCCAAGTGTCTGTAACAGAAGTGTTTCTTGTCAAACTGGACCTGCTGTAGCGTGTTGTAGCGCTGCTAAACTGTTGACCTCGGGTCCTGGACTACGTCACTTTATCCTAGTTGTAGAAGTCCTGCAAACATTGTGTTTGCTGGTAGTTTGTTGGAATTATTTATCTATTTATCTGCATTATATCTGAATTTATTCGAAATGATACGAGCGAGCAGGAGGGGTAGTGTTTACATTCTCCCAAAAACTGGCACTAACTCAAATCCTGCCTATCCCACCTTTAAAACACACAATTCGAACCTTTACGATTTAGATAAAACAAATCAAATTCAACAGCATCTATGGATGTATTTGGCAAAATGCTAACTGGATGGTCCAATGGCATTCAAGTTAAAAATTCAGCTTTAAAAGTAAATAAATGGAGCATGAAAATGTAGAGCTTGAGGGTGTGATGATCACATAAGAAAGTACAGTGATTTTTGTCCTCTAAAAATAAACCCCATTCAAGCCACAAAGTTCTCAGTTACAAACGTGCATTAGCGCTAATCTCATTAGCTCTGTGCTATTGCAAAACCTGAGCCAGGATAAACCCTGCACTCTTTTTATTAGCCTTTTGCATTATGACCACTGCTGTGAAAATGAATTGGTTTTAATGTAATGTATGAGGAGGATGTGGTTCGATGCTGATGTCCGTTTGAATAAAGTAGAGGGAAGTTACAGTATGAAATGTTACAACCTTTTTCAGAGGACTCTTATCAACCGCTGAATCCTCTGTAATATAAAAGTGTACATCATAGTGTGGAGTATCACTGTATATCTGTTCATTGTGGTCAAACTTGGTCTTGTCTCAATGACACCCTCTGTTACAGCTCAGGAGCTCTGAGTAGGAAGAGTGTGGGGACAGAAGCAATGCTTTTAGCCAAATTACAGGATTGAAACACACTGAGCATAAGGACGGATCTGAAGTGGATTATGCTGCGTGGTTTAAGAGATTTCCATGAGTGTTGTAACATTCTTCCTTGTGAGAAGAAGGATTCATCATCTTTGACACAAATTCAAACCAACTTCTCCCAGATCCTTTTCACGTCTGTCAGGGGATGACGGATACTGAAAAGCTTCATTATGACAATGAGGTGCAGCTCTGGATCTATCACGCTCTATTATATTTAAAGGGATATTCCGGCGTAAAATAGGCAGGAAAGGCAGGGTCAAAAAAATGTAACACAGATTTGGAAACGCCAAAACACCACTCTAAAGCCACAAATAAGCTCAGAGTAACACCTAACTTCATCAACAGAACATTTAGAGTACTACCCATAGTACTAGCCACCAAACATCTTCTAAACTTTGCCTTATTTCTTTAGCAAAGAGACTAAACACAACTCACCTACTCTCTTCCAGCAGCCGCTTGTTTACAGTGAGACCTCAGGCTAGTCCATTACGGACTACAGGGGGTGGCGCAGCTCAAGGAAGAACATTTATTATCATTTTTACATGGAAATGCAATCAGACCGAGACGCTAACGGGCAATTTCCATCGCATACTGAACGGCTCAAAAAGGCCGTATCTGCAGATCGTAGCTGATCTTAACCATTCAAGTCAATGTGTCAATTTCCACCGAAAAACTCTGGGTTTCAGGCGGATCATATTTCACACCATGCAAACGGGTGGAGACGACCAAGTGAAAGGTTTATAGACAGCATTTCATCCTGATGACACCATGGATGAGGGGATGCTGATTTTTTTAAGTCTGGAAGTAGATTTCCTCCTCTGGAAGGACACAATCTACTGCTTATGTGGTTAGCCTATGTGGCTAAAGACAACTTGTTATCACGCAATTGCACGTGAATCCGCAGGTTCTAGCGATTCCTGCAGTGCAAAATGATTAAGATGGTGATGATTACTTCAAGGAAATAATAAAGAAATGATCATAATTGAGCGGCGTTTTGATTGAGGTTTGTTTTTGGCTCCTCAGACCGCTGTGTATTGCTATCTTGCGGTCGTTACTAAAGTTGGAATGACTAGAGAAACAAGCGGTCGGCAATATTCATCTCTCGAGGGGGTGTCTAACTCGGTGTGTTTGACCCTAAATTAATTTTACGCCGGAATATCCCTTTAAGTGCAGTCAAAGGTTGCTTCAACTTCACCTATTTATTATTTTTTAATCAGCTCTATGTGGTTGCTTTGTGTCTCTGCTCTATTCCCCCCTGGATGAAGCTGTTCTTTCCACCGCCTGTTTGTGGAACATTCTGGTCATACTGCACTCAACATAAATACAAACTGCTGACAGAGACAGACTGCACCTTACTGCCCTGTTGTGAGATCTTGTTCCTGCAGAAAACACAATCATTGTTGATCTCATGTTAAAGTCAACTTCAAATGGGTGATTTTCTAACAGACTAGATAAAATCAATTGAGCTTGCCTTGTGATTAACCACGTGTAAAAATGCAGCATTACAGGGTAAGCATTGCACACTCATCAAGCAGGATTTCCCAGCTCTCAGTGTTTATCACAGCCTCACTATCAGGGCAGGAAGACACCACTTTGAGCAGCAGCAGCAGCAGAGTATGGCAGTGACGCTGCAACAAACTTGACACCATAAGGTCATTGGAGTAAAGCAACAGCAGCACGAATGAGCTATTACCTCTCAGCTCAATCACATGCACATCATCTGTTTCCCGCATGCAAAGGTGTAAACACAGCAGTGGCACCGGATCATCTGTTTACCGCGCAGGGGGAGATGCTGTGAGCCCGATTAAACGACTGCTTCATGCAACAATTTACCGCACTGAGAGGCCATACGCCCCTTCAGTGTGAATGACCACAGTTGCGTTTTTTTAACACCTCCGAGGTGTTGCGGATGACACGTTCCTCTGCCCCTTTTCTCCTTAAAATGTCTGGTTGAAGCAACATTTGTCAGCAGTAGGGGTTGCCGTGCAGGATGACTGTCTGGACATGCACGTTAACCCTGCTGGATATGCACCGTCACTCGGCTGTTTTACCCCCAAAATCACTGATGTCTGACTGAATAAATCCAGACTAGAACCACGACTCTCCATCTGCACAGAATATAGCTGCTCTGCTTGCTTCACTGGATCGTATCGACCCTCTCGGTGCTGCAGCTCCTGTCACCTCTGATAAACTTGTATGATTGAGTGACGCGGTCATGCATTTGGCGGCGCTAGGACCACGCGGAAACATGTTCGGACATCGAGCCTTTTATTCCTCATAATAATAATAATAATCAGCCTGTTTGCTGATCTCTGTACATACCTGTCTGCGTTACCATGCTTTCCTCCTGACTCTGCTTTCTGCATGTCTCACACGCCGGTGTTAACCCATCCACATCTCCAACTCCTGCCGCCCGCCGCTCCAGGGTCTGCCTACTGCCTGCTGCCTGTCCACGGACCATGCGTGCTGTTTCACACCGCTGAGAGGGGCGGAGTCCACCTTCCTTGGAGACGGAGCGCAAGTGGATCATGAGAGTGCCACTTATTTCCTCTCGGAGCCAATCAGCGGCGGTTCACCTCGAATCGGCATGCAATGGCTGTGAGATGCAAAGTGACTGAAGAAGAAGAGTGCTCAGTTTGATAATCATGTGGAGGAAATACACAAATCTTTCTTTTTCTGCAACCTGAACCAATCACATGTGCGCTCTGTTCCAATAATCCGGGTGTAAATTATGTCCAAATGCAGTTTCAATAAAAGGGTGTTTCCTTATTTACTTCCACTTCTCTCAATTTAAGTCTGAGGTGATAAAAATAAAAATACAATTGTTGAAATCCCATAAACATGCAGTCTCCATGCAGCAAGCTATTTTTATTTTTCTAGAAATGGGTGAAAAGTGTTATTTTGATCAACAACCAAAACAAATTTCTTGATCAAACGGTGGCACCTTTTTTTTAATATTCACAGCACATGATCTACAAGGTGTGACCTTAGTGTACAAGACAGATCAGCCATGGTAACAGGGTTTATTCTACCCTCTACTGGCAGGACATGAAATGTGACTCTGCTTTAACTCAAATCAAACTCCTCCAGTGAGGTCCAAACATCGATGTGGTACAAAATTATTTCACTTAAAAATAAAATACCCCAAAGGTAGGAATTGTAGGTTTTTAGAGTCATATCCAAAGAAAACAAATTCTGGTGGTGAGGGGGTTAGCTTGAAAATACAGTCTTTGTATGTGTTTGACCTACAACTACCAGATGACTAAAGCATGAACTACACAACTTCAAATATACAAAAAGATAGAAAACGGCTAAAATCAAGAACGATATTCACAGCAGGGCGTCTCTTCTCTGACAACATTTAGAACATATTGTCTTGTTTATGAAAATGTCCTTCTGGTGTAAAAAAAAAAAAAAAAGTAGTTGTTGTTGTCCACATCAGTCCTGACTGAATCAAATGTTCGGAGATTTATTCATATCTGTCCTCTGTGGTTCAGCTCCCTCTCAGTCACTCTGCCAAACTCTACCACCTCCCCCTGGGGAAAGGGGGGCCGCCGAACCCTGGCCCTACATTTTGAAAATGCCTTCCATCTCTGTCATCCATACCACCTGGTCCCATAGGAGGGGGTTGAACGAAAGGAGGTCCACGAGGAGGGAAGGGCAAAGGCATCCTGAACCTGTCCATGGGAAACATGGGTCCTCCAGGCATCATTTGAGGGTGCATGTGAGGCATGTTGGAAGGTGGGAGGAACGGAGGTACATGAGGATTTGGCATGCCAGGAGGAGGCCGCAGAGGGGGCATGCCTGGTCCGGGACCCTGCATCATGCCTGGACCTGGAAGGTTCATTACTGGTGCTGGAGGAACCCCCAGCTTGTTGTTAGTGCGGGCATCTGAAGATGAGCTTTGGTCTCCTATCGAATCATTTATGGACTTGTCTGGAGGTTTTACACTTCCTGCAGCGAGAGAGAGAGAGAAAATGGAAATGCTTTAAGTGAAAAATCCACGTGAGAGCAAAAGTTTTAAGAAACAACAAGGTAAGAATCGTTATTTCACCAGACTTGTTTTCTTTTTGAGGTACAAACAGGACTTCCTTTAAATCATTCATGCTTTTTTTTTCTTCAACATCAAAGTCTTACCTGGTGTCAAATTTGCGGGGTCAAACTCTGGAGGGATGAAAGGAGCGCCGCCTGGAGGCATGGCCTGGGGGGACAGCATGATGGGGGCAGGAAAAGCAGGTGGACTTCCAATCGGTGCGGTTTGTTCAACTGGTGGCACCTTGAATACAAACAGAGGTAATGGTATCTTATTTAGATCACAGTGACTGAGAAGACTGGGATAGAAGCATAACATCTTCTGTTTCTGAAGCTGCTGATAGATGTCACCCCAGATGAATTCATCTGTTGCATAAAGAAAATCTTGAAGTGTTTAGAACAATAACTGGCAAAGTGATGCTTTCTTTGTTTTCAGTTACAAGACAGCTTCTTTCACAGATACAAGTAAACAAACTAAGACAAGAAACAAGAAAAAGGCATGTGTAATATGAAGCAGAGAAGAGGCAGGTACAGATTTAAGATTGGAAAGAACAGCTGCTGAAAATGTAAATCGAAAATGTTTTTATTCCTCTGTGATGAGGTAAGTGTTGATATATATCACTTCTTTTAAATCAGATCATAAAACACTTTAGTGAGACAGACCATGAGACCAACCCTCTGAAATTCAGCTCAGCCTTTTATAGAGTGTTACATACCTTAGTATGCCAACATCGCCTGTATATATAAAATAGCAGACATAGACTAAAATACAGAGACTCATGGGATTAGTGCATTCACTTTTACAAGACTTGGTCAGAGCGAAAAAAATAAAATAAAAAAAAGTAAAAAACAGGTGATGCAACAAAATGCATCAATTCTGAAACACGTCTCTTTCTGAAATCATCATCAAACGCTCCTTTCCAGCTAGGTATGATCGCACAGCTCATGTCAAAAGGTACAGTATATACTGAGGTTAGTTTTCTTGAGGCCATTGTTAGAAAAGAGCTTCAAGAACTTTCAGTGGGACACCATGTACTTCAATTAACAAAAGATTATACAACAACGTGTTACTTACCTTTTTAACACCGATCTAAGTTTTAACTTGATTTTAGCGGTTTGAAGTCTCTTTTATAAATACACTTTATACTGGTACTGGATTTTTTATCTTAAAGGACAAATTCCGCGCACACCACAGCCTCACAAAATAACACGAATCTATGTGAATATAGATCATGTTTTGTGAACACTACAGCCGTACAGTGACTGTTGACCACAGTGTGCTTGTCTCAACAGCGCCCCAGGGAAGTGGAGAGTTTTAGCTGGTGGAGCTGTAGTATTATTGTGTGGCACAGACACCTGATGTGGTGCACTGAGAGAGGTCGGACAAGGGGGGCGACAATGACACTAAAGACCTCTGTATAAATAAATAAAATAAATAAATAAATCCCTCACAGATCACCCACCTCAATGACATATCAGAAGAAATCACACAAAAATCTCCTTGTTGGTGCCCTCCCAGTGTATAAACATATGCAAAGTGTCCTCTGGATTCCCTTTAAAGTAGAGACTGGATGTCCCATCAGTGGATTCAATGTGATAGTGTCCTTTCAAGTCCCTTTTTAAAAAGTATAAAATATGAGAAAGAATCCTTTTCGTGTTTTGACCTGATATATACAGCAGGTTTGTAAGGCAGTTTAGTACAACAAAGTCTTATTTTTGTATTTTAGTTTATCATCAGATTACACTCGTGTGTCAATTCACTTTTCGTTTTCACAATGACCATGTGAAAAACAACAGATCAATTCTGAGTCAAGTTTGGTTTCATACAGGATGTGGGCTTGTTTTCTGACGTTTGAGGCTCCCTCTGTTTACTCGTGCCTCAGCGAGTTGAAATGAACCCGTCACTGTGGGTATCAGGTGTTTGAGAAACTATTCCAATCTACCTCCAGGCTACCTCTCGCCCCACTTAAAAATTTCACCTGCCCCCTCTTCACAGGATAAAACTGGGCCTTGACGACAACATTATGATCAGGAGTTTACAAAAAGGTCTTGAAAGCGCTGCTGGGGGCAGATCTAAGTTGTGGCGTACAGGAAGTGCCCCTTTTAAATGGTCACCCTGCCTTTCCTGTGTACTCCATTACATTAAACTCTAAAAGGTGTAAATCCTTCCTCTAACAATGCTGAACAATTTCTCATATTTACTTGAATAAACGAGGACAACAAAACTCAACTCAACAGACATTTCTTGAAGTTTGACATTAATCAGACTGACAGAAAATTCAGTGGCTTTGAGGTAAAGATAAGACAAAAATGTGGTCGAGTCAGATGTGTACGAGAAAAGAAGTCCCACCTTATTTGTCAGACTGCTGCCAGTCACTAAAACAAACACATTTTAATGTCTTAAGATACGTGACTAAAAAAACACAAACACTCTGAAACTGTGGTCAGGTTTTCTCTGTGATCACAGTATTACTGACAACAAGCTACATTTACAGGAACACTAATGGCTTTATTAAATAAGTGAGTAAACTGTGTATTTCATATGGTACTTTAAACTGACAAAGCTTTTTAAAAGAGGTCAGCTTCGAATTATGACTCGAAGACAATAATGCATCAAAAATTAATGAAACAGGTAGTTAGCCTGCTCGAGTTAGACATACAATCATCGTGTGATCATGTCAAGCACCTAAAAAAACTAAAAGTATTCAATGTTATACTACATACACTATATTCAATGTGCAGATCAAGTTTCATGTCTTGCACGGTCATGATAGGTTTACTCAAACACGGTTTTAACATTAAGACAGTTCATGCACTACTTGAGCTCAAAGTGCTATTTCTTGTCATGCATTTAACAAACAACCCGAAGTCTATCAATACAAATACCTCCAAATGTAATAAAAGTGACCACATCAACTCAAAACTCAAAGCCTACCACATCCTCCAGGCTCGGCCCTGTTCAGAAGATCCTTGGTGCTGAAGCCGACTGTATGAACACCGGCGTCACATTAATCTAATATTTTTAATCTACTATTTTTTTTCTCAGATACAGAAGTGCTCATGAAAATGTGAATTCCTTACCTCTTAGAGACACTAAACAGCTCAGCTAAAACAACAATTACCACGTCTGCTTCAGGGAATGTCGGTCATTTACACATTTCACATGCATGTGATTTTTAGTACATATTTAACATTTCAATTAACAAAAATGATCAAATCTCTAATCTAAGCACGAACAGAATTTTGAGGCAAAGCTCACAAAAATATAAAAATATATGTGTGGCAGCGAAGAGAGGCCACTTTAATCCCCGTGATACAACAGTTACTTCATCAAAAATGTACACTTGTTCAAAGAGTTGATGGTAAACAGACGTTTTCAGTGAACTGAGGAAAAGTCCAACCCCACCATATTCAGACATTTAGGAACGGCTTGTAAAAATTAATATTGAGATCTTCAAACGTGCAATTTTTGAGAATAAAGTACAAAAAAAGCCTACGTGTTATTTTAAAAGAGATCACAGGAGCCGACAGCTGTCTGAACTTCAACGAGGAACTTGGAATTATTTTGTGAAGTCATACTTTAATTGAAGCTTAATCGAAAACTAAACACCTGAAATTTTTTGCACATTAACATGAGAATCAGGACTTTGAAATGACTGTGAAATAAAACTGAGTCTCTTATCAAGAGGAGCAGCCGTAGCAGCTGCTGTTTGTACTCAGAATTAAACTACACAAGATGATCCACATCCTCATTTGAGTGCAGACAGCCGACTTCCTTTCTTATTTCCCTGTATACTGCTCTAGCCTGATCAACATCAGACTCTAATTACAACTTCTTACCCCCATTTTTTTTTTTAAACCTTTCTTGAAATTTAAATTCCCCAAAATGTTCAGATTTAACACTTTTCATTGCGGTTTAAAACGTGTATTTGACCTCACCCTCTTAATTTTGACTTTATCGTTTGACTTCATTCTCATAATCATGTATTTAAAAAAAATTCTTAAAGCTCTTATCTTCTTTTGCAGACATCCTCCCTGATATGAATATCGTAAAAACGTCCCATTTCCCAGAAACCCCACCAAGTGGACACGAGAAGAACTGAAGGATCAGGTTTTTCGGCAGTGGAGTTTGATTCGCTGTTATTAGAAGCTGAACTCACTCTGCTAGTTTTAATTATCAAATCAGTTTCCAAAATTGGAATAATGTGTTAAACATTTTTCTCTCATAACTTCAACACCTATAATAGAAGTTAAAAATTAATAACGGCAGATTTGACAAGCCTGGATTTCACTTCTGAGTTGACTGTAAACCTACCTTTGTCCAGTATGTAGTCATGATCAAACCCTTGTTTCCATTTTGACAGTCTGCACCCAAATACAAGATTGCTGCTGAGTAGTACACACAGATACGCATTAATATAATATAATATATCCTCACACTTCCACAGGGAGACGTCAAAGCTTGAAGTCGTGAACTCATTCTTAGCAGCTTTAGTTTAACAGCCTTACTTTCCTAAACCACAGTTAGAGAAAGATCTTGGCTGGTAGAGGTGCTGAATTTCTCTATTTCATTTTCTTTCCTATTATTCCTGTTGTGAGGAAACTTCAAACTGAAGCTTTTGACTTTAAAGCATGACTAAGATAAACCTTTATTCATCCCACGGTGGGAAATCTGTATGAAGAATAAAGAACTTCATTTTGGCGCCACCTGTGAACAAAACTGTACCTCTTAGTATTTTACTGAGCTCCCTGCATCAGTTCCCAACCTTAGGTCCAGGCCCCTTAGGGGGCAGCAGAGATCCTGGGAGTGGGAGACAGGTACTGGATAGTTCTGCCTGATAATACATCTCTGTGAATAATACAGGTATACTCATTCATTACTTCTTTGGGTTAAATAGATGAAAATATGTCACTGTCTAAACATTAATTATATCTGAGGGGCTTTGTTGGGGGGTGGGGGGATGGCTGCTGCTTTAAGGGACTAAATAAATTCTGTTTTGGAAAGAAAAATCTCTTCCTGCTTTAATTCTTAAAAACTGATGGGGGGAAAAAAAGGTCAGCATGCTTTTAATTCTCCAAGACAGACAAATGATTATCATGAACAGATAACTGAACAGGAAGTACTGTCCTCTCACTGATTATCTGTTTTACTTTTGTTGGTAATAGTCTAGTTTAAAAATGGAGATGCTTTCTAAGATGGCAAAACATTTTTATTTTGACTTAGCAGATGTGAACTGAACCAAACTTGAACTTTTCCTGTTTTATCAAATGAGAAAAAGGTTGGAACAGATTCTATTCCTAATGCGTAATCTTTCATGCTCTGCTTTAGAACAACAAAACCAAATTCAAAATGGGGGGGATGGTTCATAAGTCAAACTGCTGTGATGAGGGACTACTGTGTGGTTAGCAACAGAGGGGTCTGCTCTTACCCTGGTGTTCACTCCATCAGCAGGAAATACAGGATATGTGCAGCTCCATTTCTCCTGCAGGTTAAAAGTAGCCAGGCAGCTGGGCAACACATCTTTGACCAAGACTCACATCCCAGATGGGTTTCATCTCGGTTCTTTCCCTCGCGACAAAATAATTCCTTCATCCTGGTACTTATGAGACACGTGGAAAGAGTAATGAAGCAGCCCTACAACATACTCAACAAACAAGGGATGACTTTTACACTCATGTGAGACTCATGAGTCTGTTTTGTTCATGTGAAGGGAAAGACTGTAGAGATTTTACACTGTAACTAAACTCCTCAGACACACAGGATTCATGTCGAAGGGCAAAGAGTTACAGCTATGAAACTTTTTTGATGCTTTAAACTTGAAAACATTTTGAAAAAAGTTGTTAGGGGTAATGTTAGGAAAGGTGTTACACAAGGGATATGGAATAAGGGATAAAATTTATCAAGAACCAACTTAAAAACAGAGTAAACTAATTACTTTGGATCTATTACTAGTGAGTGTAAAATACAGATTTTTAAGGACAGTTTTTACAGTCAAAGCTGGTTGAGTCACAAGGTTCGAGGATAAATCTTTGCCGAAATCTTTGTAATTTACACAACTATGAACAGAATTTTAAAAATCTAAACATTTCAAGCAGGTCTGTCTCTTAAAAACTCTGTAGATGTTATTTTATAATCTATCCACTGACTTTATCCTGTCTTTTCTTCAGTTTTTGTGTTACCTGTCATGCTTTCAGGCTTGTCCTTTTCTTTCCGAAGGCACTCAGAGTCATCTGGACAATAAGCATTTTTAATTTTCCTCTCTTAGTCATTCACAGCATGTCAGCCTGTTGATTCACTAAATTTACACCCTTTTGTTTCAACTTAACTGTGCAACAGTTATTTCCATAATTTAATACTGACTGTTGTTTAATTTTAGTCTCTAGAACATGAATGCAGAAAGGAAACAGGACTTTTCAAACTTCAGATTTAAAGACGCTGCATCAAACAACTTTATCCCCTTATGATGAAAATCATGGTTGGGCTTTGAAATATCACTCAATCTTCACTGGTGTCAATGCTGAGGGATATCTGATAGAATTAAGGTAGCAAAGTACCGCTATGTTTGTTAGTATCGAACTTAACATATTTTACATAGCTCGTTCTCGTACACTCAGAAGGTAGAGAAGTAAACAACTCTAAGATACATCTCCTTCGAAGTTTAAAAGGCTACTCCTTCAAAGCAGAAAAACAAGCTATGGGCATCTTATGAGGGGTAAACAAGTAACACCTCAAGCCCCGTCTACGACCTTGTACTGCAGAGATTATGGACTATTTTTCTACTTCATGAAGATATTGAAGTGCACGCTTTGTTCCATCTACCATTGTTTAGCCATGACTCAGCACTGGACATTTATTCCTCCTTCACCACTTGTTGCTGTCCTGGCAGATGGCCAGGAGTGGAACTCCATCCTCTGGGCACATCATGATTCAACGTTTAATTCTGCACCTTTACCACATGCCAAACCTACCACACACACACAGACAGGAGAGTTGATCATGGAAAAGAGGCTGGGATGTGCTGATCCAGGCAGCAAATGTGACGTGAAGAACCTGCAGTTTTTCTGAGGAGCTCACTTCAAATAAAATTACAGAAAAAAGCAGCATGACCTGACTCTGACATTGTGTCAACACACTACAGTGTGTGCCAATGAGTCAACTAAGAGGCAGCATAATGTTGTAGATATCCTAATACACAGCTTACTGTGCAGGCTGAGCAAATGTCGTCATCATCCAATCCTGTTGTGAAAGTTTGCAACAAGTTTATCGATACTGCAGACAAATGCAGAAGCATCTGACCAAAACTCCTCAGCATTAAAAAGTTCATACATTCATGAGAGCAATACATTTTAGATATTAAAGAGCCATGTTTTCACGCTTCTTAATACATTTTTGCTCTACTAAAACTATTCACTGAAAGCCATGTCATGGTTCAAGGACATCTGATGAATCTAATTTTCTGTCACAGAACATCAGCATGAACTTGACAGATCAGCATTCAGAAAGCTGAAAAGTGCATATTTCTGTAAATCCGTGTGTTGCACAGAGGTGCAGGACCATGGAGAGGTTTGGCACATTAAGAGCCGGTACAAATGATATTAACTAATAATGTCCAATGTTTCCCTAAAGGGAAAAAGCTGTCAAACCTGTTATTGGACAGAAATTACAGCAGCTCTTCAGCCTGTCTTCCACATAAGTGTGAAAACATCATCCTTCCAAATGATTTTCTCTGACCGGGCTTGGATGACATTCACTGACATGGTGGCGGCCTTCAGAGACAGTAGACAACTCAAAGATTTCAGGCCGTCCTCAGAATGAAACAAGAAAATGCAGAATCAAGGCTAATCTTCATTTGGTCATAGATAAGAGCATAAACTGTCTAAGTGAGCTCAAATCAAGCTGCAGTGAACAGTCTACTAAGATTTTACATTAGACTGTCTGCAGCGATTTGGGAACAAAAGATACAGCAAACTGTCAAAGTGTGCCAAAAGACATTGAAGAAGTTGAGGCATAAACCTGAAGTAAGAGTCACGGAAAGCTCAATGTACGGTGCACAAGTGTTCAGAGCATAGACTGTTTATAGAATAGACGTGGTCTGAGAGAACAGCACCCTCTGGTGACCAGCTGCATTTTAGGTCATAAATCCCGCCTCCTCCATCAATCCCTATGGAGCTGTGGACAAACTTTAGAAATTTATTACACAAAATATAAATTTTTCTCCCCCTTGGTTGCGATGTTGACATGTAGTTACAGTAAGACTGGTTTGTGCTCAAGTCCTCCTTTTTCTGTACAGCTCCATTCTTAAAAGTTATAGAGGGATCATATTTTCTATGACTGACACTTGATACAGCTTATGGGCGTACGAAGATTGTACAGCTCACCTAGGAGATACGCTGTTTGAGCCGAGCGTCATCAAAGCAACTGTGAATGCATACAACACTACTGCGCAAGTGGTAGTTCCAGGAAGTGGAGAAAATCCCGGAAATACTGAGAGCAATTCAGCTTCAAATTTGTATAATGACAGAAGGCAGAGGAAAGTTGTCAATAGTACAGTCTATGGTTTACAGCCACAAAGTCGTCAACTTATTACAGTGGTTCAAGTCTAACCGCCCACTTTGACTCTTTGGAGTTCATCAAACCTAAGTTTAAATCTACAGCTCCTGTTTCAGTGTATATTAATATTTGAGTTAACAGTAAATAATGTAAATGTATAGATGCATAGCACTTGCTTAAGCTCCATCTTCAGGACAAACACAAAAGCATTAATACCATAAACCACTTGATGGCCTACTCACAGTCTGATCCACTTCTTTGAGGAACTGTACTGGGTTTGATAGACACGCCTGGATTTGAAACAGCTCAGCCTTCAAGGACTTAGTTCTTGTTTTGCTGAGCAATTTTTATCCCAGAAACCCTTTCTGAATAAATTCAGTACTCAGGGGAGTTGTCCAGTTTAAGGTACGACTCTCAGGTTTAGCTTCTTTTCCACAAGTCGCTAACGGTGTCGTTTGCTTACCTGTCTCCCACTTGGACACTCTTCCTCCCATTTGAGCCTTTGAATCCAACCAGCAGCAGAGAGTCAGACTGTCCCAAGCTCAAGACATATGAGCAACCCTTCTCCAAAGTGACGTGCAAAGTTTAGCAGGCCTGCTAAGCATGGTGGGTGGCCGACATTCCAGCTGGACCATTTTTTATTACATGTAGTTAGTTAACATTTACTGAGCCTAGAGTCGTACGAGGACTTTATGAAATTGTTTCAGTATTTTCAACAGTTCAGGCGATCACCCTATGATAGATTTACTTTTTTTTTTGTTTAAACTGAACTCGGGTATTCTCAGAGGTTCAGTATTCATAATGGAACTTTTTTATACATTTAAAATGAATATTGATTTTAGTGACAAATATAGTGACTGTGACCAGTTCTATGATGTTTACAGCTTATATTTGGGTTTTAACAAAGATTACTTTGGATGTAAGGTTCAGATAGATGTACTGTTCACACTCAATGATTCAAACACACGTTTTCCCAACTAAGACGGTTCATGTCACCAATCACCTTAAAACATTGTGATAATGTGAAAATCATTTGAAAAAACAATTCCTGATATCTGTGGAAAACCAATCAAGAAGACAGAAATGCTCCCCTCTACAGTTTCAGTTTTTTTGAAATCGCCCACTTTATTTTTAAAAGGTATTCTGCACAGAAGAAGAGAAACCTCGAAAGAAGACTCAAGTCTTTGGTGAAGAAGCAGAAACAGATGAAGAAGCATTACTGAATTAAGCTTCTTCAGTAGGAGCTTATCTGAATTGTGAAAATTAAGAGGATAAAAATCACCAAATTAAATCTGTCTGCTCATTTAGGAGACTCTGAAACACCCTTGTGATGCAAAGACATGAGAGACATTTTATAAACCTTCTAGGATCATAAATAATTAGATATTTTACTGAAACTGAACCATTTCTCTTTTCAGGAGAATTTAATTCAGCATTTGAAAATGCACCTCTGCATAACGCACACAACTGTTATTTTTATGTTAAACATCAGAAATACTTAGTTCAAAGTTTACTTAGTGAGTAACTCAGAGACACAACTTTTATAGTCTGAGCATTAAAGGACACGAGTTGTTAATTATTTCTCTAAAAGACAAAGGAATGAATGTAGCTGCTATTTGAATGGGTTAGGGCTGCACGATTAATCCATTTTAATCAGATTATTTGATTATGAGGATGTTACAAAAAATTTTAAATTCATCTAATCGATTTTCCTCTCTATCATGTCTTGTGCCTCCAGGCCACCGTAGGCTCCCCTTTCTTGTGGGAGTGCTCCCCAGTTCCCACACACACCAGTCTAAACAAACATGGCGTCTACAAAAGAAGGCGGTAATTTCGTGGCTAAATAGGACAAGATCAGGTCAGTCATGTGAAATTGGTATGGCTTCACAGTTTCGGATGAAGAGCAAACCGCTCGCCGCTGCAAAGTCTGCCTGAAAACGGTATTAACCCGTCCACACGGAAACGAATTCAGGAATAAACGCAAATGTTTTTTGTCGTATCGGCATTTCATCCACACAGAAACAGCGTTTTGGGGGACTGCAAACGGTACTTTGTGAAAAATGGTCAGAGATTGCATAAATCCGTAAACGATGACCATTTCATCTCTGTGTGGATGTCTATCTGCATCTCTGAAAACGATCATGTGACACACAGCGTAACTCTTTCATGGCGACTGTGCGCGTCTGGCCAAAACAACCTTTATACACATGCTCCGTGTCTTTGGTGCATTTCCTGGACAGCATTACAGTGCCACTTACTGGCTTAGCATGTGCACTACATCGTTTTCAGCGGTTTTGTTCTGAGAGATGATAGAAAAACTTTATTCAGTGACAACTTCACCAAACTTCACCTTAAAAATAAAGAATCGAAAATTGAGTTTTCAGAGAAAAAAAAAATGCTAATTTTATTTTTGGCCAAAATCGTGCAGCCCTACAATGGGTAAGAGTTATGTTCAAAGCATTTGCCATTTACAGTTACACTTGGGCTGTGATGTACCAGCCCACTAAGCTAACAAGCCCACAAGTATTTCCTTATAAATTCAGTGACCAAGACTGGACCATACTGACAATTGGTAAGTTTGCATATTTTGTTGCAGCTGGTCTTCAAATAAACTCGCCTTTCATAGACCAAATGAAAAAGTGTTCATCATACTGCATAAAGTGTAGCTGCCATCTATGATGGCCAAGCTGATGATGGAGTTCAGTTTGAGCCTTCGCCTCACCAAGTTTAATCCTAAAGGGTATATGCAGTTTTCAGGCAAATGCTCATTTGTGTTCTTTGACCCAACTGTACTCTCTGACAATAAAGGAGCTGATCCACATGTATGGAAGCCACATTATCATCGCCTCAAGATTTTTTGATCTGATATGAGTGGAGCACCACCTTATGGAGGAGGACTGATAGTTATGGGTCATGTTCCAGTCTGGAAAGAACACAGGAAGAAAACCAACAACAGGCGTGTGTGTGTGTGTGTGTGTGTGTGTGTGTGTGTGTGTGTGTGTGTGTGTGTGTATCTTGACCTTGAAAAAAGTTGTTCTCCACTGAATAGAAACGTCTTTCAATGGAGCGTCTTTTCTATTACACAAAGCTACTACTGTATTTCTTCATTTTTGGTACATGTAGAAAATTTCTAACAATCATTTGTTTTGTGTTGTTTTGTATAAACTAACTTGGTGTGTGATTACAGTTTTGAAAAGATGAAAGGGTTTCAGATAAGCTCCGTCACTCATTGGTAATGATTTATTTTCCGTACATTCTCCACAAGACAGATTGTGAAGTAGGAATTCAAAAGAAAGCCACTGAAAATCAATGAATTAGCACGTTATTTTGAAAAGAAGGAATTTAGAGACAGTATTAGCATTACCTGAACGTGGGCAGTTAGGGTCCCATCTGCTGATACACTCCCCAGTGCTCCATTGACAGCTGCTGGCTTCTGAAGGTCATTAGCATTACTCCAATCTGAGCACAAGAAAAAGTGAATGGAAAATAAGTGAAACTATTTCTGATAATCTTTAACAGATTCATTTTTAGCTGCTGAATCTCTGGCAAGCAAAAAAAAAGTGTTTACCTGGATTCAGTGTCTCTGCATCCAGAATGCCTCCTTCCCTGTAGCTCTCCAACTCTTCAACTTTGACTTTGCTCCAGGGGATGTAGGTAACTCCCCGCTCCACATCCCAGAACTTTTTGTGAGCTTGTTTTATACCTTTGTTTAAAGCCCAAGCAATCTAGGAAAAGCAATGTAGCAGTTACAACCTTCGGCATTAAATCAAGATACACAGAACAAAGATAAAACGTCACACATATATAAACCTTCAGGTACCTTCACAGGTTTCTGGTTGACTTTGTACGACCCTCGACTCAGTTTGTTTAAAGCTGTGTAGGCATCTTGTCTGTGAACCATAACAATATAGGCGCAGCCCCTCGGAGGAATCATCTGGATATGAAGAATTAAAAAAAGAAAAAAAAAAATGTTAAACACTTTCCAAAGATCATAGAGCTTTGGGATGATCTCTGACATCAACTGTCCAGACTCACATTGATGGACTCAATCTGGCCGAACTCTTCCAAAAGAGACATCACGTCTGACTGCTGAGTTTTCTTGTCTAGCTGTCCGACCCACAGTGTAGTGCTGCAAACTAAATCAAACAATAGATTAATGCTGTGGTTATTTTCACGAAACATTAGAGCTTCATCACAGACCCTCAATATTTTTATACTGAAAGGAAGATTTTTAATTTGGTTATTTTTAATGCTTAAAAGACAGATGAAGGGAAGAGGTACAAAAAAACACTCTTTTTAGCTTCCAATTAAACCAAGTATCTCAACAACTGTCATCCTGTAGAGCACCAGAGTAATAGATTTGTCTTTTTTTATGTCAGTTTCTAAACATTTGAGTGACAGGTGTCAGACCAGACAGTTTCCAGCATGTTAATAAAACTTTTCATAACATTTCCAAGAGCAAATGTTTATGAGTGACATGTTTTTACTGTTCAAAGACACTAAGATGAGATTTTTCACTCTGCAAACTCCGCCTCAGCAGGACAAGATCAGAAAAGTGGAATGATGTACATGTTTGTCCACAGAGGGGGCTTCATTTAAATCTAGATCTGCTGAAGTAGGGGTGCAAATTCAGCATATTGGTTTTACATACCACTGAGTCTTTGGCTCTTTATGCTGGGGAGACCTTTCTGTCTGCGCTCACGGTCTCTCTCTCTTTCACCTCTGTCCTGAGAACCAGAGCGAGATCTCCAGCGCCGTTCTCTGGAGCGGGAACGAGAGCGTCGATGCCTGGACCTCCTCGAACGGGACGAAGATCTTGACCTTCTTCTTCTTGGGGAAGAGAAAAAAAAATGAAGGATTGCTCTGATTTGATAAGGGTTCACCAAATCAGACTCTACCAACATAAGCTTGGTAAACAACAAAATGACGTTATTCTTGTCTCTTTTTGACTGATGCTCCAAGCTACCTACCTTGACCCAGATCTGGATCTTGATCTCCTGCCATAGCCTCTGTGTCTGTCTTCCCGCCTCAGAGCTGAGCTTTCCCGTGAATTTTCCTGTCAAATAACGATGACATGAAGTTTTCAGTCCACCAACTGTACAAGCACAGGCAGTGAAACTCTCTCAAATGGTGTGTTATTTACACAAAGGTTAACATGAGCAAGGTTTTAAAAGTTTACCTGTGAATGTGGATGAGCCTCGTTTAAGGAAGGGTAACCATCTGGTATCCTTTGACTTTCACCATGACCTACACCGTGCTGAAGGATGACAAAGAAAAGGACAAAGAAAATACTTCAAAAGCAGAAGATACCGGTCTGTTCACACAGTCTGGAGGGTTCATCATGTTCAGCCATGATAATAACTTTATCAATACCTCTGTACCACCAGGCTGAGTCATCATGTGAGGGTGAACGTTTTCTGTGTTGAGCATCTGACCATGAAGATGGTTGAATATATTCTCAGGAATGCCTCTGTCATGAAAAAAGAGTATACAGAGAGTTAAACAAACACATCTGGACATGTAAATAACAGAAAACACATGGGGGATCAAATTAAACCCTGTCTGCTTAGATTATTTTGGGATTACATTTTCACAACCTCACTGTTATGAATTCTGGGTCATTGGTTTGTTCTTCTGTGCCAATACAAATCAAATAATCAAATAATTAGAGTTTCAAAGAGGGTCACTGCAGCAGTATTATGATCATTTGTAGTTGAAACAAATTCTGCTTTATGGAATAATACTGATAAATAAGGAAAACCTCATTTTTGAGTAGAGGGAACCAGAAAGTTCAAGGTCACAAAACAAGCAAAAAACATTTTCTTCTGGAAATAGAAACTCAACAGTAACTAGAGAAGGAACAATTTATGAGCTACAATCAGGAAACAGTTTAATCAGGATCGAATACCAAAATAGATATTTTACCAACTCAGCACAGTACGCACATTTATTATTCAATATCAGCTGCACTAACTGTAAACAGAGCATTTTAACTGAGCTGTTAAAGTGAAACACAAGCAACACTGTGATTTACTCAACATGCTCAAAGTCCACATTTGAAGCTTAAGCTGGGCTGATGTCAGAGCCAGAACATTCAGGAATTCATCAGCATTTATAATTATTATGACACTCACTGTAAGTGGGCGGTGCTTTCTTTGGCCATCATGTCATCAGGTTCATCGTCGTAGTCAAAGCGGTCGAGGAGTTTCTAGGAATGAGAGAAATATTACAGTCTGGTGAATGAGAAAGTAGATAATCACAGAGAGAGAAATGAGGCACTTCGAGCTCTGACATTACCTCAGCTAAAGAGCTTTTGGTCTCTGTGTGTGCATTATACTGGTTGAGCTGGGCCGCAGGCATCTGAGGTGGATTTGGTACGTTGTTTGAAATGGTAGCCAGGCTCTTATCTGCCTGCTGGAAGCTCTGGAGCATCCTCTGAAGCTGCAGGGAGAAGAAGAAATGATTTCACGTCTTAATTCTAACCTGCCATTATCATAAACTGCCAGAGGGGCTCACGTTAATGGACTGCTTACCTCTTGACCATGGGGGGACTGAAACAGCTGAGCCACAGCAGCCAAAGCGTCAGGAGTGGGTAGCTGTGGCACTGCGGGCGCATCTGAGGCACTCGTGAGGGTGGGCTGCATCACTGGGTGGGGGTCAACTGGAACTTTTGAGACACAAGAATGAGATGAAAATCTTTGTGTTTAAATTACATGCACTTTACAAACTCAAGGAATCTACAGAAAGATTGTTAAAATTAACGGTACTCTGATTCTACCTTGAAGTGCAGGGGCAGATACAGGAGATCCATTCGCCATGTCCATCAGAGGCTGAATGATGTCCATATCGAACACGCCATTCTTCTGCCACAGGTTCAAGACACGGATTATTTTGCTCTGGTAAAAGAAAGTAAAGCAACACCTGTGTTTAAATATTTCTTTCATATTGAAGTGTTAACCTAAAAAAATAACTGATGTTTAAATTCAAAGTACCTTATCATCTTCCGAGCAGTGGTAAAGGTTCTGAAAGGTATCTGTGAAGTTCTTCAAGAATCTGGGTCCAAATACATCCTTGTCAACACCAAACTGATGCCGGGACTGTCGGACGATAGAATCAACCACGTACAAACCGGGGACCTTTAGTTCTGGTTTGCACTAGCGAATGAGCAAAAAGGCAAAAAAAAGACTTCCTGTTTAATCAAAAATTACATTTGAACTTAAATTTAATCTATTTACAATATTCTCTTACTAGTAACGGATACATACCTTCTTGATAAACTTTTCTACAATCTGGACGACATGCTTGTAAAGCTAATAAAAAAGACAAAATTCCCATGAGTCACTGCAGCAACAAACACAACACTTTAATCATAATGATAACAGCAAGTGAACAAAAGAGGAGAACTGTTCAAACAAGACTCATTTACATCAAAATGGAAAACATATTCAACGACACACTGAGCAGCATTAAACTAAAGACTTTCTACTTTTAAGATATTTCAGCATTCATCATGTCCACACATGCACATATATCTAAAACAAAATATCCAACTTAGGTAAAGCTGAACTAAGAATTAAAAGAAACACACCAGGGAAACTCATAAAACTTCAGAACTACTGGCATATTCTCATCTTTAATTCATGTATGTTGATCAGCCACAGTTTGTCATTTTCCAACAGAGCTACTGTAGAAAGACTAAGTATGCAGACAATGACATAAACCCTTCAGTAGTTGTATCTTGAAAACGTAGTAACTGCCTTAATCATAATCAGCCTTTGTGTCAAGCATTGACTCTATACCAGAGAACAGTAGATGATGTGAAAATCCAGACAGCCCCCCACCTTTGATAGCCACAAATTACCAAGAAATCAAACTGAAGCAGCATATGTTCAATTTACCTTAATAGCCTTGATGGCTGATTTTGTGACAGACATCATCTTAGCACGAGATATCGGAGGCTTCATGTCAATCATGGAGAACAACTAGTTGGATGATAAAAAGATCAGTTAGTCCTTAGAAAAGAAAAAAAAGACACAAAATGACAATTAGAAATTCTCAACCCTGAGCTACAGATGATCCACAATGGGTAATGTGGGAACTCATATCATACCAATCATTTAGTCATTGTTTCAGGTGATAATATATCATGCCAATCATTTAGCCATTGTTTCAGGTGATTAACTGTTTTCTTATTGTGTTTACATTATTTTGTGTGCTATTTTGTGACTCAGATAAGAAAGTTTAAAGCTAACACAGGGGCAATTGATCACTGTGTCACAATGTATAGAAGAGAGACTCTCAGTAAAGAAAGATTTTAGCTTATGCCTAGAAGTGCCAAGTGTGGGTAAGTATGGTTTTAAACTATTTTGCTATGATGCCTAAACAGTCATTCATTAGAAGTGTTCCTTATAATCCTCACGTGTCTATGACCTTGACATATGCTCTAGATAATGATGTGCCTTTCATAACAGACGTGCAGGTGTAGCTCAGAAATGTGAACAACAGGGTGAGGGAGGAAGATCACTCTGTCCTGAGAAGATGTGGAGGTGTAAAGGGAGGGTTTGCATGCCCAGCAGTCTGATCAGTGGGAACTCAGTGAAAGCCCGGAATACATGACGCAAATAAGATAAAAAGGAGACAGGCACTGGGTGCATCCAAGGTCAACTTCCCCGAAACCACGGTTTTGGTCAGGTAAAAAAACAGAAGAATAGAACTAGAAACCATGCTTGTTTGTCCGTAGAGAAACACTGGGGACTGCTGGTGATGTAAACTCTCCGCCCATAAAGATGATGAGACGTCTCAGATGTATAAATGTTAACTACTGAAAAATAGTATTCAGACCACCTCAGAGATACCATTGGGTTGATGTTGTGCTCTCCAAGATATCTTGTATTATCTGCTGTGCCGAAATAAAAGGTTGGTTGAAGACACCTTTTTGCCTCATTTGAATCCTCTGTTCCAGTCTCCATCAACGGACTCGGGGAAGTTTGGATAACTTCAACAGTAACCACAAACATGCCCCCAAATTTAGGAAGCAGGCAGCTCGGATTACTTGAGTCTGAACGTAAAAACTAACTTATAATTTTACGGACTGTCAAATTCCCCTCAAACTACATGAGCAAATTCTGAGATTTGCCAGAGTGGAAAACTAAGGTATCAGTCCAACATTTTGGACTCTCATTTTTTTTTCTTTGTCTGCCTGATTCATTCATGTTTAGTGATCAATTCAGGCCAACTCACTTACCTTTTGACCATCTACCTAATATTGAGTGGGCCTCCCCACATAACAGTCCTGACAGTCACCCCGTTCTGAGGGTATGCTGTGGTATCTGACACCAAGATCTTGATATGCATTGACAATGTCAACACTTTCCCTCCAGCCTACCTTTTGCCATCACTCAGAAGTCTAGTTCTGTTGCCCATCATAGGCAGTTTCCTTCACCCCTACACCAGTTTCCTTACAAAGGGCTGCAGATTTGAAGACACTCTCCCACAGTCATTGTTCCATCATAATTTGATGATTGTCAAAATCAGTCACTTTTTTACAGCTGCACATTTTCCCTGCTTCCAACATAGTATAAGGGATATTCTGGCGTAAAATAAATTTAGGGTCAAACACTGTAACACCAAGTTAGACACCCCCTCGAGAGAAGAATGTTGGCGATCGCTTGCTTCTCTAGTTAAACCAACTTTAGTAATGACTGCAAGATAGCAATACAGAGCGCTCATTTCTTCATGATCATTTCTTGATGGAAATGCAATCAGACTGAGATGCTAAGGCAGAAGAACTACCGCTTTGCAGTGCAAAATAATTAATATGATGATTATTCACTTAAGGAAATGATAAAGAAATTATCATAAATGTTCTTCCTTGAGCCGCGTCACCCCGCTTTAGTCCATAATGGACTGACCTGAGGTCGCGCTACAAACAAGCGGCTGCTGGAAGAGAGTAGGTGAGTTGTGTTTAGTCTCTTTGCTAAAGAAATCAGGCAAAGTTAAAAAGATGTTTGGTGGCTAGTACTATGGCTGGGACCCTATATGTACTGTTGATGAAGTTAGGTGCTGTTCTGAGCTTTATTTGTGGCTAAAGAGTGGCATTTTGGTTGAGGTTCGTCTATGGCTCCTCAGACCACTCTGTATTGCTATCTTGGGGTCATTACTAAAATTGGTAAAACTAGGGTGTCTAACTGTGTTTGACCATAACTTAATTTTACTCCGGAATATCCCTTTAAATTTGAAAATCAGGTGTTTATTTGTCATCTACCACAACCCTCTGACAAACACCAATGTTACGGGGTTCCTCTATGTTATTAACTTCATTTGAAAGTGTTTCGGTTAGGACTGATAAGTCTGTAAAAACATACAGATCATTCAGGACTTCTGCTTTAGCACAGATCTCTTATTAGCAATTACACGATTTGACAAAAGCCGATCACGTGTATGAGTCACGTGTGTTGATTTGCTCGTGCCAAGTGGTTAGGTGAACTGTGTTGAATCCAAGTCATAGATCTTGATCCCATTATAATTGTCGTCTTTTAATGACTCAGATTGGTGAATGATGCACCAAAAAACAGACTTAAATTCCTTAAATCGTCGCACAAAGACTTCATATTACATCATACAGACATGATCAAAATAAGAACAAAAAACAGCAAAATAAAGATTCATGAGCATTTCGGGAAAAAATTAGCTAGTTATCAAATCCCAAAATGGTCAATGCATGTCTTTAAGTGTCGTATCAATAATGACTGCAGATCTGTTATATATGCAGGTTAGCCTTTAGCTGAGCTAACGCTGCGCAGTAACTCCAAACTAAAGACGGATTTATGTTAAACCTGAGACAGGGACACTGAAACTATCAAACATTGAAGGAGTGTAAAAGGAAGGAAGAAACGTGTCCTTTAAGTTTTATTGAGCATTTCTTTGGATTTAGGTGGAATAAGTTAAACATTAATCTGACCCAAGGACTTCAGGCCCCGCAGTTTCACTATCTAGCTAACAACTCAACTACGGCTAACACATTCAACAAGGCCTTATTTACGTTTCTTTTATCACTTTTAACCGATAAGAACAGATCTAACCAATAATAGACAAATTCAGAGTTTAAACTTCACGTAATAAATACAGACATATGCAATAAATCGAACAATTAGAAACCAACTGACAGCTTTTAGCATGTTAGCTTCAGAGTAAAACACGAACCAACTTTACCTCCATGTTGAAGGCGTTCACTGCATCCATGACGGTTTATTCTGGAGACAGCCGACTAACGAACAGCTCTACTCTATTAAACTAAAACGATGCGTCGATATCTAACTAAATACATATCCGGAAACGCATAATAATAATAATAGTATTTTCTAGAACGTGGTCACAGTCCTCATCAGTCGTCTGCTGCGCTAAAAGGTTTGCTCTCAGCTTTACGGTCCCACCCCCGCGACTCCCGCGAGATTATTTTCGTAGGATGGTAGGGGAAGGTCCCGCCCTCCTTCACCTCTGATTGGCTAGAACTGCTGGGCTCCGATTGGTTATTCCTTATGGCTGTGAAACATCAACGTCTGTCGGGTTTGGCAAACCAGCTGAATGGTGCATTAGCGCCACCTGCTGAACTGGAGTGTGGTTCTGTATTAGGTACCTGATCTTAAATTCTGTTAATTAATTTTTTTTTTCCTTGAAGAAAATTAAGTATCTGTTTGTATACATGTTGTAGATTTTCCTTAAGTATAGATTTTAATGAAAAGCCTATATTCTGATGCTTGAAATAAGTGTTAAAAAAAAACTTTAGAGAAGGTAAAAGAATGCTAGACAATCAATCAATCAATCAATCAATCAATCAATCAATCAATCAATCAATCAATCAAAAACATACAAGAAAACACAGGTAAACAAGCCCAGAAAATTCAGGTTCATACTCCTTTCTTTCACTGCAGCTCTTGCAGATTCATATCTAATATAATACTAATTTCATGCTGATTCCTTATTAAATAAAGTAGCCTTTAAGAAGAACAAGGATAAAGGTTAAGTACTCTTTGCTGACGACAGTGATGTATCTTTTTTTTCTGTTGCTGAATGCATGTAAAGGGCAGAAAATTTGTAGATTTTTCATAAATCATGTGGCTCTTTTACGCCTTCTTGTGGTCAGACCTGGACACTGCAGACGCCTGCAGGTTAACAGTCAGATAGAGTCTCTGCTCAGAACTTAGAGGGCAGCCTGGACTCCAGCTGATGAACATGAGGGCAGAGACAGCAGGAATTTTTCACACGGCTTCTTTTTTTTCACACGGTATTTTTAATTGAACTATAATGTTTTTGTCAAAAGCTGTTTTATTTATGTTTCAAAATGAATGATGAATATGACAGAGAACTCAACGATTACTGTCCATTATGAATGGGAATACTACGATGATTATCTTGATTCTGTGCATGTGGACCAGAGCACGCTGACCTACAACAAATGTAAGTGTAAATGTTCAATAGAAATATGGATTCTTTTCTTGTTTCATGTTTAAATGGCTGTTTTTTGTGTGTTTTTTCAGACTCAATTGTTATAATATTTTGGATCATTCTGTCTGCTTTTGTGGGATTCCTCTTTCTCAGTTTAAATATGATGTCTGGTGGTGGAAACTTTTCAAGGTAATAATCTGTGTTGACTTAAAATACTCCAATATACTAAACATTGTATGTACACGTACGCATCCATGACTAAATTCACCCACAAAGCTCCTTTTCTAACCCTTCACTTCTTTTTCTCACAGAAGTCGGAGATCAAAAAGCAAACTAAGCCCCCAAACATCAACAGCCTGAGAGACAACTGTTTTCTTGGAAATGTGAGCCAAAATTGTTTAAACTTTGGTGATTTAGAGTTCATAAAATTAAAATGATACTGATGTAGAATGTGATGTAATGTTATGAAACTGGTCTGGCATGATTTAACCTTGTACTTAGATGTTAAATGGTACGGTGGCCCAGAACCACCACTGCTGCAAATAAAAAAGAATGCAAAAAAAAGTCACAACAGAAGTTACAGATGCAAAAAAAGAAACCAAAGCCTGCTGCTGCAAAAAGGAAAGAGAAGAAACCAAAGCCTGCTCCAAAAAAAAAAAAAAAAGCCACAACGGAAGTCAGCGTCGCAAAAAAGTGGTGATGCAAAAAAAACCAAAAAGTTACTTATTGCAAAAAAAAAAGGATGCAAATAAAAAAAAAAAATGAGAGGATGCTGGTGTAGTGTTAGCTTCAGTTAAACTTCATATCGACTCAGGTGCAACATGGTCTAACCAAATAACATTTTGAGAAGTACACAAAGTGAAATTAAACAATAACCTTTCCACTTACTTCTTTGCTCGTCTTTTCGCCGTCGTCTTCTGTGCCTAGATCGTAAAACACCGGTGCGTCATCATTATTGGTCCCCCGCAGCTCACTTCCATTTTGGCTTTTTTTACTTGCATCCTTTTATTTTCTCAGTAACTTTTTTTTTCCATCCCCACTTTTTTTTGTGTCGTAAACTCCTGTTGTGGCTTTTATTTATTTTTTAATCTGCACCATTCTTTATTTTATTTGCAGCAGGCTTCAGCTTTTTTTTTTCTTTTTTGCATCGATAACTTCCGTTGTGATGGCGGTTCTAAAAGTACTGGGAAAATACATGAATACTTTCGGCAGCTTTATTGATCTACACTCAGAAATTTCACTTATAATTACTTGATAACAATAACAACATCTTTTCTTTTCAGCAACCGTATGCTTAGAAAGTATTCACACATTTTTCAACAGATTTGTAAATTAATATTTTATTATAAAAGTTACAAAATATCTTGAGTTGCTTCAAACAAAGCAGTTAAAGGAGCGACTACAAGATAAACTTGTAATCCTTGAGTTGAACAGAAAGAAAACAGAGGGTCGATCTAACTCTTCATGGTGGTGATGATGTTGTTACAGATGGCTCTGACGGCCGTTTGAGGCGCTGATGATTTAGATGATTTCCGTTTCTTACATTTGGCTCTGGTCACCAAACTGATGTGAGACAGGAAGAGGTCTGCTGATGAGGCTCCGCTCCACAACTCATGGATGTACAGCGACAACAGACACAGGCCTGCTTCTGGAAAAGAGAAAACAACACGATCGAATCAGTGGTGATTTTCTGTAAGGGTGTCACATTTTGTTGAAGGGTTTTATTTTTATTTCCCCTCCAGCAGCATTACGTATCTTGCAGCACAGATTCTGTCATGATGCTTAACTAACTTCTTGAAGTATTTTATGGTAAAATGACTGATGTGGTTTGATGGAAACTACAATAAACTTTACAAAACTCAAAATTTCTTTTTCTTTTTCCTCATGTTACTTAAAATTTGCTCACATCTCTGATTAAATACACACAGGGTCAATGGCTCAACTCTTCATTTATTTTCATGTTAAGTTATTTTAATACAGAGCTGAGGTCATATATTGTTACAACTCTGATGTGATACGTCTGGAGTGAGTCTGTCGGTGAGTCACGAGGCTCTTACCGCGTTGACACTGATCCTGAGAGGCCTCGGTCAGGCAGGCAGAGACGACAGCTTGGTGCAGCTCTGGAAGGTGGCCTTGGCTCTCCAGGAAGTGCATCATAATGTTGGTAAACATCTGGATGGTTTCTCCTCTCACTGATGAACTGGAGTGACACTGAGTTTGATGGTAGACTCGAAGAAGGTCTGCTTTTAAGCCGGGATCCATCAGGATGACATCCACAATCTCCTTGTGCTTAACCACGGCCTTTTCAACCCAGTTCAAGAATTCTTTTGTTCTGTTTTCCTCATAAGAGTCCTCCACCAAACACCTCAGGGACCACTTGGTGAGCAGGTGCGCTGTGTCTACGGCCAACCCACTGGGACCCGGTCGGTCCCTGGGCTGAGCTGGCTGGGGTTCAGGGAGGGGAAGCTCAGGCTCCCAGTGAACAAAGATCCCGCTGAGGTAAGATTTACACTCTGTCAGGAGACTCTCCTCTTGTTTCTTAGTCTCGGTGTCCTCTGCCAGATTCTCTTGCTGTGCGCGGGTTTTGGAAACAGAGCTTTTACCTCGAGTCTTTTCCTTCCCAATCACTGAGAAGAAAGCAAAAAAAAAAAACGGAGACTAGGCTGATTATGTTGAGAGAGCAAACACAATTCAGCACAAAGACTTCAGCCTGCATCATTTTTTTTGTTTGTAAAGGTAAACTGTTACTTTTTATTTTGTTATGTAGACAGGTTTCTGTGCAACGTCATCTTATACTCACCCAGCAACTCCTTCACTTTGTGCTTTTCACACAAAGCTTGTATTTGAGTTTGCAGTGCTGCATTGTGGGACAGGGAGGCCCAGCAGAGAAGCAGAGTGAGGGTCTCGGCTGAAGAGAGAGGCTGTGGGTGCAGCGTGAGCCAGTCCGCCTGTTTGTTTACCCTGAGAGCCGTCCCACGATGCTTCAGTATGGAGCTGAGAGTCTGCAGAAACAGGCTGAGCTGAGCGGCCTTCACACGGAGCCTGACCGGAGAGAGGGGAGCAAACAAACACTGACACCCTTGACCAAAGACCTGAACATCCATCAAAGCTGCTTAATTTCCAGAATCTGGCCTGTGTGAAGCTTTACCTGAGGCGTCTACTGACTACTAAAGCCACACTGAGGAAATCACTGATGAGTGGGAGTGGCAGACACTTGACTGGGCGCTGATGGGGTTTCTCTGAAGTGGAGGTCTGTCCCCCGTCCACCTGCTTCTCCTTCTGCCCGAGGTTAGTAAACCACAGCACATGGAGCAGGTCTACGATGGCGCCCAACAGCTGCTGGTCCAGATTCCTGAGAGAGTCATAAATTCAGACTTTAAACCGGTCGAGGGGATTATTGTCGAGCAGAGCGGTGATAAAGTAAAAATACAGAGCTGCGGTTTGGACTGGACTTACTTTTTTTCAACCATCTGTATCATCCATGTCAGGAGTCCACAACTCTTAGTGAGATTATAAGCTGCTTTGGTCACACGGGTCACCTGACACATCACCCTGATAATCTGTAACTATAACAGAGAGACACAGAGAGAGTGTGTTACTTTCTCCGTATTTCTTCTTTTTTTCATTTTCGGTCTCCAAATCTGAAGCTGTAATCAATCTGCCTAAACTGCTAATGTGTCCTAACAGTGTGTACCTGGGAGCGATCATCACACAGAGGGCTGCTGCTGAAACCTAAAAGGGTCTGAAAGATGCCTTGTTGGTCACACAGCTCATAGCAGTGTCCGTCACTCAGTCCTTCCTCCAGCACACTCAGGATCCACTCTCTCTCTGTTTTATGCTGCAGAGAAAACAAACAGCCAAAAATCAACAACACCGGTCTGCAAAAACAAACCCATGAAGGTTGAATGTTGTTGACGCAAGACAGACATTTATCTCTTCAGGGTCAAATTCACCAAAACACTTTACCTCCAAGTCAAAACCGTAGAAGAGTTTGAAGAACTCCGGGACCCTCCTGAAATCCAGACTCTGTTGGGACAGCAGGAACCGGTTTAACACCACATACATGTGGTCCTCTGAGGGGAGAAAAAAAAACACTGTTAGGTTCATATAATTCAGTTTACAGACAAGGCAACAACAAAACATGCTTTTTAGAGGAATAGAGTTGAGTGAGTAGGGCTGGGCGATATGGGAAAAAGATTATCGCGATATATTTTTTTCATATCAGTCGATTTTGGTATATATCACAATATAAAAATGAAATTTAGCAGTGTTTATTGGTAGCATGTCTTTCCCAATACAATAAGCTACTGCATCTGTGACGTCTTTGAGTCTCGTCGACTTTTTGTTGTAGGGCGTTGCACTGTTTAAGTGCTATAGTTGCATGTAGCTGCAGCCTGCTACTATGCAGTTGTATGCTACCTGGTGCTAATTCAGCACATGACTGGTGTAGCGCGAAGCGAACGCGGAGAAACTCCCCTTTTTATTGGCTATTTGTATAGTCTACCAAAACATGGCAGAATGCCGACTATTGAAAAGCATACTGACCATGTTTTATATTGATATTGAGGAAAATTAATTCTCGATATATATCATTATCATTTTTTTTTAATTATTTTAATTTTAATAAAACTCTTTTTCTGCATTTTTTTTTTTTGTTAAACTCTGACAACAGCAAACTCTGCACATGTCCAAATGCTTATAATCTGAATAAAACTTGGTGCATGTTCACGCACGTCATGATCGGATTTGAACTGATTTTGCGCCCATATAAACAGTGAATTCAGATCATCCGATCCCTCAAATTTTTAATCAGATCAAGAAATTTTGCACATGTAAACATGACTACTGAAGATGAACAGCAGTGAGAACATTTCAGAGTTACCCACCAGGTTTGAGCATCTGCTGAGCCACTTTACTGATGTAAGTAGTCAAGACAAACGGCAGCCTGTGGTTCTGCTGTCGGATCCCATTCTTAACCGTATCCATCAAGTAGAGCAACTGTTTGATTGAAACAGCTCATTAGTTCTCTGGAGGAGATTTAATACTGTTAAATATGAAATAAGAGCGGACACACGGACTCTGAGCTTTTACCTGTCTTTTCTCTCTAAAGCGAGCCCCCTCCAGGTGTTGGTAGAAGCAGCTGAGGACGTGGTAGGCACCTGCTCTCACTTTTGGATCGTAGCTACTGAGAGCCATCACGGTGACTCCCAGAGCGTGGCTGGATACAAACTTGAGGCAGTCGATCACAGACTCTGTCAAACAGAAACAGTGATGAAGTGGTGACAACCATAACTAGTTTTAAAAAAAGAATCACAGCATCAGAGAAATATCCTCACCTGGACGCAAGATGGCGCTGAATAGAGGCAAGAGAAAACAGGGGTCATACAAATTGTCCAGGTCCTTGACTAGATTGCTGGAAAACAGCGTCTCCTTGTCATCCTATAAGAGAAAAAACATATTTAGTAAGAGAGGTTTAAATTTCACTCAGGATTTCTCAAACCCAGAACTAACAGCCTAGAATCATTAAAGTTCTTGGACTCTGGTATCTGACTCTCTAGATATAAAAGTTGACCTGCAGAATGATCCTGCGTTGTTGGGGGAAGTTCGCAATAGTCTGGAGCATCCTGTCAGGTTTCAGCAGAGCCAGCAGGTCGTCCGGGCTCTCCTGCTTCCACAGGGAAGCTCCTAAACTTTTCCTGGTCTTGTGGTGCTCCACAGCAGCCGGACCCCACATGAAGGACCTAACATCACGGACACAAATGCTCAGTGTCTGTGCTTGAGAAGTGAACTTACTTCATGTGCAAGATGCAAAAAATGGATGTTACTCACTCAAACTTCAGCAGACTGACGTTGTTTTTTTCATACTCGTGAAGAAGCAGCAACAGTTTCTGATCTGAAAACCAAAAAAGGACGTGAGAGGAGAGAAGAACCACAAACATAAACAGACACACAGTTTTTTAAAACCTCCAGCTTTACCTGAAGCACTCAGTGTGACTCCATATGCACCAAGAAGAACAACGAAGTGGTTGACGTTACAAACTGTTGGGCATTTCTTCACCAAACACAGAAGCAGAGACACGAGCGCATCTGGAGCGACAAAAACACAGATTGTTTGTGTTTCATGATGAATTAAACAATTATCTGCGGGTTTTTATTTTGCTCCTTTTTCTCCATAATACCTTTGGCCTGACACCTGCTTTGGTCTTCGTCAGGGTTCAACATGGTGGGCAGGAACAGAGAGTGGCTGCTGGTCATCATGTAGAGGGTGGATAAAGGTATCAGATCCTTCTGGGGTTCACTTCCATCGTACATTACGCCCAACAGGCTGCTCAGCGTGTTGAGAAAGTGGTGATCTCTGTAGCGATATCTGCAGCGGAAGAGTTTGTGTTGGATCAGCAAAGAAGAAGACGTTTTTTTATGACCTTATTGATCTAAAAGACGAATTTCTCACTTGAGTCCATTCTTGACAAAACTGTTCCATTCAGACGCGGCGACATTTTCAGCAGTTGTCTGTGCAAAGAAGATAAACTATTAAATATATCAGGATAGAACATCAAGAAATCAAGAATAAGAGAGGAAAAGTAACCCACGATCAGTCCGAGAAGTCTCTCCAAAATGCTCTGCTCCTGTTCTGAGGGAGAAGTCTGATCTTTAGAGAGACTGAAAGCTGCGGTGAGACACTTGAAGGCTGCGCTGGTTACAGACTTCCTCCAGGTTTCTCCTTCCTCTGGACAATCAGACACTTTCTCCATGATGACGTCTACTAGCTGCCATCTGGAAGCAGAAAACAACATTTAGCGATCTGTATCAGTAAGTATATCAATCAGTAATCTGCAGCTGGTACCTAGGGCTGGGCGATAAACCAAAAATTCACCAATACTGAAATTCACGACATTAACCGACATCATTTCGCCCGTGTCAATATGTTTGATTTAAGAATAAAAAAATAAAAAAATAAAAGCTGGTTTTGGATGTGTGTACCCCATCCAGTCCGTAACAAAGAGGGAAAGACAGGTGAGGAGGTGGAGGACGGTTCAAAAGTTGTAGCAGCTGGTGTAGATGAAGTTAATGTGGAAGGGGGTGAGCAGCTTTTGGAGTAGTTATCATCCATTTATCGTTATCGAGGTGAACTGATCAATATATAGTGATACTGATTTGAGGCCATATCGCCCAGCCCTACTGATACCTCAGGTACAAGTATTCTCAGTCTGCTGTTACCTTTCAAAAGTGTCTCCTTTTTGAAGAGCATTTGGCAGGTTACAGATCAGGTCCTTCATGTCGTCGGTGTTTGCAGAGAGTTTGATCAGACTGGCGAGGGTTTCGGTCAGCTGGACTCCAGAGTCTTCTGTCAGCTCTCCCAGAACACGCTGGGTTAGTTTTGAGAATAACGTCTTCTTCAAGGCTTTCAAAACCTCATCTTGAACTGTGAGACAAAAATTTGAAAACGTTCTTTAAATTATTGGAAATCACAGAAGAAAAAAGAACCACGGTGGTGTGAGGAGACAGTAGTGAACTTGTTTAGTACAAACCATCTTTTGGCCTTGCAGGATCCTCTCTGCCCGCCATCTTCAGGTAGGTATTTATGAGTGGGAGGAAGGTGTCGGACTGGTCTGAGAGTCTCTCCGTGTTGGAGGCCTCCAGGGTCCACACCTCGAAGCAGAGGCGGTGTGTGGAGCAGTTCTGCAGCAGCAGGCAGCTGATGTCCAGAGTGTCGGGGCAAAGCTGCCGGAGACAATGCAGCAGCACGTCTGTGTGGACGAGCTTGGCGCTGCCTGGTTCACTGCGGAGAGTCTGCAGCAGGAGGGTCTTCAGTGCGGGGCTGGAGCAGGACAGCAGCAGGGTGCTGAGGCCCTGGAGGTGAGTCTGAGACAGGAAGACACTGTAGTCCTGGGGAGAGTTGGCGCTCGACTCTGTAAGGATCTGCACAGCTGCATGACCGTAGACACTGAGCTCAGCTTGTGTGTCGTCCTCACTGCTGGGGGAGATTAAACTCCCGTGGGGGAGGAGAAGCAGCCTGGAGACCAGCTCTTTCAGATTACAGGAGTCCATGTAGCTGTGCAGGGACAGGAGGGCCTGGAAAGGCTTCGACAGTTTCTTTGCAGCCCTGAAACTCTCCTCCATCAGTTCTTTGAGTACGGCTTTTTCTACAGCCTCCATGTAGCTGCTGATGAGATCCAGGCGACCCAGATCACAGAGAGAGGGACTGCAGGTCTTCAGCAAGACCAGAATGTCATCATTCAGCCGAGCGCACAGGTGTTTGAGTCTGACAGGGTTCAGAGTGTGAGGAGGGAGAGCAGCCAGCTCCAGAGCCAGAAACCACTGATCCAAACAGGGATGCTTGAAGATGGAGCTCAGCACAGACAGAAGGACCTAAACGCAGATGGTGGATCAGTTATTGTAGAGATACCAGAACCAGATCTTAAAAAATACATCTTATAATTCATCAAACTTCTCCAAACCTGCTCTTTGTCGGCTTCTTCTGCAGATAACTGGTCGATCTCTAAGAACAGACCTGAACCTTCTTGTGAGTTTTCCTCTGCTGTCTCAGAGGTTTTGGTCTCCTGAAGGCCTTGTAGCTTAGACACCAAGTCCTGGAGTATTTCCATTAAGGTCTTCAGAAGAGGGACTCCTGTGTTTTTGGAGAACTGAACAGAGGGATAAGATTTGATGTTTATATTTCATATACACTGATTGATCAGTACGTTTGTGTCGTGATGATCTTACGGTGCCAAAGTTTTCCACTGTTGATTTTATGTAGAGCAGGATCTGCTGGACTGCGACTGGGAACTCGGCCGTCAACATGGAAGCGAGAGTCTCTCCCACAGTCCTCCTGAAGTCCTCCTCGAGCAGAGAGCTCAGTCCTCTGCTGTACGCAGCTTTCATCAGTTCAGTGAATGAAATGGGAGTCGACATTTCTGCTAATTGGCTTTCAGAGAGTTTGAACTGCAAAGAAAAGGGAAAGAAAATTTAGACAAAAATCAAAAGTATGTGAAATAATCTCCTGGTTCTTCTGCAAAAAACTGACCAGTTCCTCTCTGCTCTGCTGTGGGAGCCATTTGGAGTAATACTGATGAAGACGTATGACAGACTGATGAGGAGAGGACTGGTCTTCTGAGGCCATGAGCTCTTTATCGTACTGCAGCAGAGCCAGACAGAGAGGGAGCGGATCCCTCTGACAGTGCAGCACGTCTGAAAGCACAGCTGACAGATACTCAAGCACCACCCCTGAGGAGAGAGAACAGACGTTACAAATAAACCCACAATTACCTTCATAGATACTTCATAAGTCTGAGAGACCAGTTTTTAAAGCAGAAACCACGGACCAAGAGTTTTACCTCGGTCTGCTGGCAGTTTGTTTCGGGCCTCCAGAGCTGCAGGGACCACCACGCTGAAGGGGAAGGTCTGGATAATGAGGTCTTCACTCAGAGCTGGACCAAACTGCTCCATCTCACCCTCATTTCCCTCCATTATGACATCCAGCATGTCTAAGACATCTACAAGAAGACATGGAGGAATTGTAAAGGACTTTTTCCTACAAGAAGAAAGAAAAATAATGATCTTCTTTTCAGATGCTCACCATCGATGTGTGAGACCGGGATACTTGCAGCGTCGCTCTCCTGGCTGCTCAGGTTAGCCTGCAGATAAGCCGCCTCCTGAACCAGACTGGAGACTTTATCTGTGTACGTGTGCGAACTGGACACCAGCTTCACCAGAACCTTCATCAGAGACCAGAGATTTAAAATATATAATATAGACAACATAGATAGATAAGATAGATTAGATAGATTAGATTGATAGATAGATAGACATAGATACATAGATACATACATACATAGATACATAGATGTCTTTTTTAGTCCCTGAATTGAAATTAAATGGTCATAGCAGTCCGGTAAAATACAAAAAATAAATAAAATACTGTATACGACAAGAAAATGAAAAATATATATATAAATATAAACACATGCCTTAAATGGGATACTTAAATACTATGAATAATTATATAATTAATAATAATTTACCTACAGTAAATAAAACTGTGTCATAATTTGAACAGTATTAATCTTATAATAAGAATGTTTAGGAAACAGAAGGAGAAGGTGAAGTTTGAACTCTGGGCTCACCCTCTCCAAGAACTGGATGACCGTCTCTTGTTGGTTTGACTCCACCCTGGCCAGCTGGTCGAGCCAAAGCTCCAGCTCAGTGTAGGTGTACTCAAACACCCCGCTGTCCTTCAACACCTGGGTACAAAGTGGGGCATACACATCAGCAATTAAAGTGAGAAAAGTGTCAACAAAACTAAGTCAAAGATGACTTCAGCGGAGAACTTTAGCTGCCGAGTTCTCACTCATAAATATGCAGCTTTACCTCTGAGTACATTTGCTCCAGGCTCTTTTAAGAACTGTAGGAACTTTCTATCTGAACTCTGTTGGTTTAGCAGAAGGAGTGCTAACATATTCCGATACTTTGCTTGTATTTGAATTAATACATTATTCAAGCTGTGCTTTAACTCTCTGCAAGTACCATAGATGACCCTGTGGTGATGTATGTGTAATGAGGATCTGAGTTATTCTTCTTTGTTACCCCTGATTTTTTTACAACAGTCTGTAAGACTAACATGTCCTCTAGGTCACATTTTCCCATGGTCCTCAGGTTGCGACGCACTTTTATAAAATTAAAACCAAACAGATTTATCTTTTAACTCTTATTTAACTCAACTCTTTGACATAAATACACCTATTTTATTGAGTAAAGTGCATTTCAGAGCACATGAACTGAGGACAATAAACTACTAAAGTTGTGAATACAGAAAATATCAAATTGCAGAAAATGGAGACTAGCAAAATGAAAAAGTTGGCTTATTTGGATCTCTGCTTTCAGAGCATATTCAGAAGAACCCGAGGAAGACCACGCAACAGCAAGGACCAAAGTGAATAAATATCAAATTGCACAAAATAAAGACCATAAAAAAACATGTATTTTTACTGCATTCAGGCCACATTAATAAGAAACTGAGGAGGACCACGACATAAGGCGTGCCTTTCAAAATAAGCTATTTTTTAAAATAAAAGACTTGTCAAACATCAGATGCGCATTAAATTTTTACTTTTTTGACCAGCTGTTCGCGACCCATCCAGAACGTCTCTGCAACCCACATTTGGGTCGGGACCCACCAGTTGAGAAACACTGCTCTGGATTATAAGTGTGAAAACCTTCAAAATATTGAAGTCTGTGAATCTGCTCAGAGAGATGAACTCACTTTAAGAACCAGCAGCCGTGTGGAGTTCTTCAGGTGGCTGCTGCTGCTGCTGACAAACATTTTTAAAAGCAGGTAAAGTACCGACTTCTCTCCAGACGACGACTCTGTTTCTGCAACATCCTGAAAAAGAAAGCAACATTTTAAAAACACACCCATTTAGAAAGACACACCTTTCTGAGAAAATCCAAATCTGTAACTTCACCTGTAAACGAAACCAGGAGAACTTGCTGGCAGGCAGATCCAAGGCCAACTGCAGTATCTGATACTGCAAAACAGGAGGGACTTCTTCTCTCATTCCCTTCTCTGACACAATCCCTGGAGATGTTTAAAAAAAACCCTTTATTTTCTTGTCATTTTTGCTCCATGAATATTTGTAAGAACTGAACGAAAGAGACAAAAGTTTCACCTTTCAAGAGTTTGCTGAAGTCAAACTTGCACTGGCTAACCAGATGTGGGACTACTTTTTGGTAAAGACAAATAACCTGGAGGATCAGAGTCTTCAGCAGGATGATCTCCGCTGTCTCAGCAACTGTTCATAATTAGAAAAAAAGGCAAATTCAATCACACATCTTCTCAGGACACTCTGTCAGAATTAATGAACGTGTAGCTCACTGTGATTTCTACCTGGAGCTTCATTTTTACTCTCCGTCTGTTCGTTTTTGTTGTTCTTTTCATCACCATCCGTCTTCTCCTTCTTGCTTATCGACTGCCACTTTGCAACTACACTTGTAATATCAGGCAAAATCTGTGAGGAGAGGGAAAAGCAGAGATTAGTTGTTTGAAGGAGTACTGTTCACATCTTTACAAGTAAACTCTAGATCTACCTTTTTAGTCTCGTTTTTAGTTGAATTTTGTTTCAATCTCTTAATCTGCATGAAGTGATTTCACCCTGTTTTAGTCCTAGAATCATTATTCATGTTTTATTACCTATTTTTTTATTATTTTCTTTTATTGTTTGATTTTAAGATTGTTTTATTTAATTAACTTTTAATGTTTTATCACCTTTATTATATCTTATCACAGTTTTATCGCTTTAGTCCTCGGTCCAGTGTTTTCTCATTTTTAAAAAAACTCAAGATAGCGTTTCCTCAGTCATCTTAGTACTTTTATTTATTTATTTTTTATTGTTTTAATCTCCTGCTTGAATGGACAGCCCTTTGTGTTACATTCTATGTATGAAAAGTGCTTTATAAATAAAGTTTGACTGATTGATTGATTAATGCAGATCAATTCTGAGCTCACCTTGCTGAGTGTCTCCCTGTACTGCTGCACCAACTCCTCCATCATGTCAGGAGTGTACATATCTGAGTGGTTTCCCCCTGTCTTATCCAGGAGGTACTGCAGATCTTTGTTGACTCTTTTTAGGAGGAAGTTCATCATGGACAGAGTCGTGATCTGAACCGCTGTGTTTGTGAGCTGGCAGACGCAAGAGTGGAGGACATTTGTCAAAGTGTGGTGGTTCGTTGTCGGTGATTTGTCATGAGTTAGTTTTGTGAACTAAGTCACTTACACTGAGGCCCTGCGTGAAGAAGGTTTTGTTACAGACTGGAGGTACAGATATCACCATGATCATGGAGAGCAGGCGAGGGAGAGGGATGATCTCACGGGTTTGAAAGACGGTGGAAATCTCTGGCTGGGCCTCATAGATCTGAAACACACATTCATTCCTGATGAGTTAAAGCCGAACATAAACAAACTTCAACTAAACAATAAACTGAGATTTTGACCTTTTTCAGAAGCTTCACATTGTCCTGCCAAGCACTTTTGAGGCGGGGGGTGTATGAATACTGAGTCTCCTGAAAGTATCTGGCCAGCATGTCGGGACTCGCTTTCAGCACATTCACCACCAGCTCCGCCACCAACTCATCCTCCGTGGCCTGCTTCAGCCCCACCAAGAACTGAAGCAAGACGATGTTTCCAGCCCTGAAAAATGTCAAATCTTAACGATCAGCATGTGGAGTTTCCAGAAGAAGGTCGTATCACTCCGACGACACTGATTACTCACCTGCCAGCTGTGCCAAAGCTTACATCGTGAAAGCTGAGACCATGCTTACGAGAGCAGCACAGGTCGAGCAGGAAACTGTGAACGAGTTCTCTGACCACAGAAATCCCTGCGTGCTCTGAGTCTCCTTCCATCTACACGAGAAAATGGATGAAAAAGTGACTTCGATTTTGTAAAAGTTCATGTGAAGAAAAACTTTGTGTATCAACTAAGGAGGTCAAAAAGCTAAACACTCACTTTGTTTTCATCGGTCGCTGCATCCACGATTCCATTCCACTTATACAGAGAGGCAACGTTGGCCAAAACAACCGGTGTGAAAAAACGCACTTTCTGTGTTTTACTGATGCCCTTGTTCAGGACAACCTACCGCAACAAAAATCACAAAATTATAGACAATAAAGTAACAAACTGGTGAATAATTAAAAAGTATAGACTGCTGGGCACTTACTTTACTCTTCAGTGTGGACAGAATGAGATTAACCACAGACAGTCTGTCCTCCTTCACACCTGTACTCAGGATCTCTGGCAGCAGCTCTGTCCAAACCAGCAAACTTCTCATTAACATATCAAAGTTAAGACAACACTGTTTCTTTTCTAATGTCTAAGTTTCCATTACCCTTGATTTCCAACAGCTGTACGATTGTTGCATTATCTCCCGACACCAAGAAAGACAGCACAAACTGGATAAAAGCCATACGGACATCAGGTTTTCCCTGAAAGGTTGAAAAGACACGGCATAAACAAACATTTCACAGAATGCAAAAGTCATGCAGCTGGTAAATGGTAAATGCCTCTAAACACCTTTTTGTCCCTCCTCTTTGCCAGTCCTGCCAGAACTCGGTTGACTTGGATGTGACTCAGGACCTCCCTGGCAGCTTCAGGACCTTGAGACACGAGGGCTGACAGGAGACTGAGGCACTGCCGGACGAGCCTGTGCATGATCGAAGACCCCAGATTAGTGAAAAAATGTGTGTTAAGACCTAATTTAACCTTCCTCCTGTGTTAGCTTTCACTACGCACCCACTATGTTCAGGGTCGGTTTTGACCCGTGTCTTAAATCAGCTGTAAATTACTCTAGAAACAATTCTCTGTCATCCAGTTTGGTTCTCATTTCTAGTTTACCTTGTTAGGCTTCATTATCCATGAAAATATTGTGTCATACAGACATCCTTACTGAATTGATTTACATGTCTGGAAATATCTGACGTTGTTTTTGTGCAGAGAAAAACACGGAAAAATGAGAATTTCCTGAATCTGACTTAATTGGAAGAGGATCTGACTGTCAGTGTGGTGTCTGTCAGTGCACATATGATTTTAGTTTTTGCTCTAATTATTAGATATTGATCTAACCGGGTTGACAGTGACCATAACACAACAAGTGCCATAATTTTAATAAGAGCACTTAATTTATTGATTCTTATTTTATTGAAATAGAGGTTCCTGACAAAGTCAAAAAGTCTTGATGCAAAAAAGCTAATTTATTTGGTTCTTTTAAGCGTTAAAATCAAAAACAGGTCGGTGCAGACCCTAACACAGGAGGAGGGTTAAACAGAAACAGCAGAAGTTAAAAAGCACCTGTGGTTCTCTGAATGGAAAGACCCCTGCAGACGTTTCATGCAGTTGGAAACTGTCTTTTTCACAATAGCATTGCCAACCATGCTGAAGTGGGACAGGTCACTGGCTGTGCGCAAAAGAATCATCTCCAGACTCTCAAAAACCAGCATCATCTGGACAGAAGAAAAAACACTGTTAGGCTTTAGTTTAGGACTAAAGGGCGAGTCCGTCTATTTAGAAAGAAGATTTACATGCTCACCTCTCTCTCTGTGAACTTCTCTGTCTCCAGCAGTTTAAAGATTTCTGCACACTCCATGGAGATTTTAATGTAACCTTCAACCACATCATAGAGATCAGGAGAGGGCAGCTTCTTAGCGGTTGATATGAAAGTCTCTAAACCTGCAGGAATGAATGAAACAGAGGAGATGATGCTGAAACACTAATACAAAAATGAATAAATGACTGACAAGTGTCAGTTTCTCCTCTTTAAAATAAACTTTGTATAGTTTTTGCCTTAAACTCACCCTTCATGGCTGTAGTCGGCTCCTTTAACATGGCTTTAAACGCTGTCCCGTTAAACTCCGGAACCTTTTCTTTCTTAGCCGGAGTTCGTGTCTCCGCCGAGTCCTCTCCGGGCCGCTTCTTACCCATTTTTAATCCTTCACTAACAGGTTTTTGTAAATTTTAATATCATCCAATCTTCTGTCATCACAGGTCTGTTGCTGTATCCCACGTTGCGGTGTAAACAGAACGCTGTGCAACGAAATTGGCTTCCGGTTGGACACCACTGGTAGGATTATGGGTTCCGCTTAGCTGCTTTAAAATGAGCGGGCCCCTGTGTGCTCTCTTTTGCTGCTCCAAACCAAAAAGTGGTAATCTCATCTTGTTTGAAATCATGTTTAGAAAAAGGTGAGTACATTTCTTTAAAAGATACACACTTCCCGGTGAAGCTGCACTGACTCTCAATGAAAACTGTAGTCTGGTATGAAGTGATCTGGTTGTCTCCTGTCCTGAAAAAAGTTCTCAATCCGCATGGTGGCTCTGAATATCGGGTAAAAACATCCAGGGAAAGAGAAAAATTTAAAACTGAGCGACAAAGACTCTGAACAAACACAAAGCTTTGGCTGTTCGTGTAGATGAGGCCTACACACATGCAGCATGACTGAGCACCAACAAGCTTCTCTAGTCCAGCAGTCTGAGATACTGAAGGGTGACTTAGAGATAAACACTGAAAAAGTTTGGTTTGGTGAGGACAAGTTTCAGTTTTACTAGTGATGTATAAATGCAGATATTCTTTTATTAAAAAAAGGAATATGAAGCAGTTTGTCGTGCATTTGTCATGAAGACCAGCCCTTCTTTTCACAGTGAGCACATGAGTTTGATATTCCTCACACTACAGATAGGGGAGAGTGGGGTAAATTGAGGTCGGGGGGTAGTAGGGATACGACTCAACTTACCCCGATCCTATGATCAGCTTACCCCATACAGGGGGTAAGTTGACCATAGGAGACCACTTTTTTACATGCTGTATTATCAAGACAGTTCTGTTTACACTCATTCTGTTGGTTTGCAGGGATGAACAACATCTTGAAATATATGCAGATACACTAGTTAGGGACAAAACTATGATTGCCTTTATGTAGTGATCTGAAATATGAAAAACGGCTCATCTTACCCCACTCTCCCCTATGCTCATCAGCAGGTACAGACATCAATAGTTGGATATTATCATCTTCCAATTCTATAGACTGATTTATTTATCAATTTTGGTGTGTGAAATGTCTGAAAAATGTGTTTTAGCAGGAGTGAATGCACACAATGCAGTGTAATTGGCATTAAATGGGAGTAATAAGTGTACTGTGTCCCATGAAATACTTGTCTTAGCCGAGAAAAGGCACTTTTATTTGGTGAATTATCCTTTAGTTGAAGACTAAGAGCAGCCAGCTGTACAAACTGAACTCTTTAGTGATGTTTATTTCTCAGTAACTGTGTCTAGCGCCATTGTTAAGTAGCTGTGTCTGCCTCGCACATAAATATTTTCTGTATTTCTGGAGAACATGATGATGAAATGGTTTTATATAACTCAGTTTGTTTTCACCAATCGTAAAATAACACACTGCACTTCATTTTTAAGTGATTTGTACTCTTTGAGCTGATTCGCAGACATGCCTAAATGCAGTTTTTTATTTAATCCTTTTGAGTTTTTTGGCACGTCTCCTTTTAGAATCTCTCTGTTACAGCATTATTTCGGGTTAACACACATTTTGCTGAGACCATGTAGACATAGCTGTGGTTCAGCTCTGCAGCCTATTTGCAGAGTGTGTGGTTTACAGCTTAAGTGTAGCCTCTTCTCAGTTATTCCTCCGGCACACATTTGCAGGCACTTCGAGCTGAATATCAAAGTTGATGTCAAAATTACACGGGTTATGTCGGTGTGTAAAACTCCTGAGACTGAAATATAAAAGATATTTCTGTCAAGTCTGGGTGATGTTTACGATTTTTAAAGTAACAGTTTGTTTTAGTACATAATAGTTACTTTATGTAGTCATAATAAAGTGGGGAATGAGGTAGTTTGTTTGTAAAAGACACTTGATGATACAGTCGTGTCTATATTTAGCTATGAGACTCATAAAACACTAAAATACTTTTGTCTCACGACAAAAGACGAATTGTCGTGTCAAAGTGGGACAATTTTAATGTCATCAAAACCTTATTTATTAATTTTAAAAAAGTATCGACAGTATAATATTTGTGCAGTCTGTTCTTGAGATATTTGTCTTTATGTTGTTACTTAGCTGCTCGGCCACCAGAGGTCGCCCTTGCTTGCTTTATTATTATCTGTTATGCACAAACCTCCTGGTGGTGCTCACTGATCAGATTATTCTTGATGAGTCCAACACAGTCCAGTCAAACACAGTTTAATCACCTCTTAGGGGGGTTTCTAATGTGTTGTGCAGGACTTCATTTATCCAGGTCACGGTTGTCCAATGCTTGCTTTGATAAGATATCGTTATTGAGATCTTACTGTTGTCTGGGATGTTGCTTTGTGTTCAGTTGATGTGATTACAGCTCTGTATTCTGTAGAGCACATCTGCCTGTGGTGCAGAAACCTCCAAAAGACGTTTTTAGACTGAAGATCCCTAAAACCGGACAGATCTGCCTGTTCTACTATACGCTGTGCACCACAACTGTGTGCTGCACCGTAAAACTGCACTGATTACACAGCTGTCTCCATTTGATATGTTGCCAAACATAAACTTTCCTTTGGAGGAGAAGATTTAAACTCACTCATCAAGTCTTGAACTCACAGATATGTTGAAACTTTTTAGGTTTTTGGACACCCATGCCTTTACTCAAGTCTCAGATGAACAAAATTGTGGCTTAAAATATCAGGAAAAAAGAGCCAAAAATATTAAAGCCTCGATGCAACAGTTATGTTGTCTACAGCTACCAACTGATCTAAATATTTCGTGAATGAAATGCCCGAGAGGCTTGTGGAGACACATGAAAGTAGATCTTAAAGAAAAAGAAATCCGGCTTTAATCTCCGCCAGGAGTCTAAAAAAATACTCCAATTTCCCACTGACACTGAAAGCTCTGAAACCATCCCTGCAGAGTTAGTTCTAGATGATTAATTATTGGAAAATCATTTGGCTCAACAGTCCAACATGGAGTCTTTTAAATGTATATTTTTCTTCCGCATGCAAATTTTGAATATTCTTTCTATAACTCTTCTGTAAGACAGTGTTGTCATGGAGGACATGTGCCCCTAAAAAGGTCCCTGACTATTAATCCATTTGCATGAAAAAGACACAGAGTACAGCGGTGCCGTAGTGTCGTCCTTGTGAGGTTTTCACAGTTATGGGTCAGCGGCTCTCCTTTGTATTTAAACCCCAAGTCACGGGTATTCAAAACTCTAAACTGTAGGACCTGCTGCTGAAGCGCTCCACGCTGCATTGTGGATGAGAGAGGAAGCAGGAGTGGCACAGCTATGTGAAGTCTTTTCCGGTCCATAAATGCCATGTTTATTTTTGAAGTTCTGGCCTGGTGTGCACCACTTCTCTTTTAAACAAAATGGTGGGTGTATGAAGCCTGTCACAGGGCTGACAGTGGTGGTCAGAGCCTTTATAGCTCTGGGATGTTGGAGCAGGATGCTCATCAGTTCAAAGAGGCTGGAGCCACGTGTAGTACAGGCAGAGCGATCATGTCAGCAGAAGGGCAAACTGCTTCCTTTCTTTGCAGAGGGAAGAAAAAAAGGTTATTTACGACGTAGGTGTCCTTCGTGCCACAATGTGCTGCACTACTTAGCACTGATGCATGATGGAAAAAGCATTTCAGCGCAGAACCGAGCAAAGCCTCATTTTTCTGAATACATCAACATGGAAATCTTTTATGAATTGTTTCATTTTTTATGATGAAGTTTCAGAGGTTTCCATTTCTCTTATTCAAAAGCACATTTAGATGTTGTACACGTTCCACTTTCCTTCCAGTATGACTATATATCATGTTATACTTACTGTATGTGTTTACGCTCTCTGTTGCGATGCCAGTAGCACAACTGGTTCTGGATAGAGACACTGGGTGGTTTCCAAAGAGTTCTATTCCACAGCTGAAGCCACTTTACCATGCCTGTTTTCACCGCAGTGCACCACAGGCCCTTCTGTGGGGTTTCTGTGCTTCCGTTGTGTGCCTCTCGGAGCCTCTCAGGCCTCCTCACGATAACACTGCAGCCAACGCTGCAGAAGGATCAAAGATCACCCCACGCCTAACAAACAGTGAGACACTTGGTCTATCAGAAACACCTGGGAGTGTTTGAGTGCAGCTGTTGGTGCATGCCCACACCCCTGAAACAATCAGGACTCAGGCCAGATGTGGACATCATCTCACGTAAGGTGCAGATGTTCCTGTTCCTCACAGTCACTTACCACAGGCAGAGTTAGGATGCTTTCTGAAGTCCTATTTAATTTAGGCTGTTTGTATTGCACCCAGCTTGGGCTCGGTGCCTCGGGTTATGCCACTGGCTTGCGGCTTGTCACTATTTAGAGAGCTGATTGAAAGCAGTGCTGCAGTTGCAAAACACTCTCGGATAGCTGTGAAAAAATGTTGTTTTTCTAAATGGATGAATGTGTACCACTTACCAAGACTGACACTGCTGCTAATTTGGAGGTGAGGGCGCCAATCTCCTTTTTGAATATGTTTGAAATAATAAGCGCTTACAGTGCAGTTTTAGAAGTATGTGTTCGGTGCGCCACAGAAACCCCATAACTTCTTAATGACAGTTCCCACATTGTTATTGTGACCCCCTGTTTGTGGTATGAAAATCCAGATCATGTTCCTGAGTAAAGAAAGAAAAAGGAAATAAACTGGAATGAGAGTAATAACCAACGCCATGTGTGTGTTTAAGTTATTGAACCGTTAATACAGACAGGAGGATCGAATGTTTTAAAGTTATTCGCTGAAAACCAAAGACTCTGGAGGCGAATATTTGATCTGAGCTAATCCAGTCATCATTTTAGGGAAGCAGATTAGGGCCACTGAAAAAAAAAAAAGGTCCAATGTCATTTTTTAAGTTATTATTCTGAGAAAAAGTCAGAATTCAGATGATCATAGCATTGGATCTCTTACATGACGATGGTTTGTGTGCTTTAACAGTTTGCTAAATGTCTTTGTTTTAACTTTCATCTGTGCTAACGTAAGCTAACGGTTGTTACCATAGTTTCATG